AGAAAGGAAGAAGCCTATAGTTGTAGTTTTAATGGATCTATATCAACCATAATATGCTTTTGAAATCCTACATATCACAAGGTTTAAATCTTACCTTATCGTTTTTATGGTGTTTAAACGTCTATGTATACCTTACTGTTTTTATTATGTTTAAACGTCTATGTATACCTTACTGCTTTTATGGTGTTTAAACGTCTATGTGTACCTTATCGTTTTTATGGTGTTTAAACGTCTATGTGTAGCTTACTGCTTTTATGGCGTTTAAACGTCTATGTGTACCTTACTGCTTTTATGGTGTTTAAACGACTATGAATACATTACTGTTTAATGGTGTCTAAATATGAATACGTATAACAATGTCTTGACGGTGTTTAAATATCCATACACATACAATCCATGATGAAAGAATTGGCGCAAAGGATCACCAAAAAATAAAGTAGATTAAAAAATCACCACTTCTACAAACATCTACACAAAAATACACATAATCTATTTTGTACAAGTTGAGATCGAGTAAAAGAAATAACAAACCGAGCGATATCGCTCGGTAGAAAAATGGTTTAAACATTGTTTGAAATAGTTTGTGAGAGATCAATCTTAAAAATAGGGATTCTTTATTTCACAGTCGAAGTACGATTCTTTCGAAACATATAATTGTGCGAAAAATACCAGCTGTAACACAAAGTAGTGGACAATCAGTGAACAGGATTATTTTAATGAGTCTAAGAAAAAAGCAGCAAGAAAAATAACTTACCGAAAAGTATTCTCAAGTCAACGAATTGTATAAAAGAGCATCAGAAGAAGACGGAGTTTGTCACGCACTAACTAAATTCCAAAATACTTTGTATAATAAGCGTAAAATCTGGGAACAGCTGAAGCTTGTCTCAGGTATTTCTAGTTCAAGATAATGAGGTTTTTCAGATAATGTGCTCTTATCATATAAATATCCATGACACATTTCGCTGGTATCTTATAGATGGGTTCCAACATTTGATAAATCCTAAGGGTGAAGCTAAAGGTTATATCCATATGGGGAATCTTCCTCAGGTGTTAAAAACCATCTCACGTGACCAGCCGTGCAGCATCTGAATGGTCGGTTTCAAAGCTTATCAGTGTTTAGTTTGTTGAAATAACACCGTATACCTGGAGGATGTGTTTTTGAGTTAGTGTGTACGCACATCAAACGCGGGCGGTGGTAACGGCCGCGATGCCACGTCGGATAAAATATTTATAACAATCTTGCCTGTGTTCTACCCGCAAAGCCCACACCTGTAGCGAAACAAGCATACAATCTAAAAAATTCCATTTATTTTAATAAAGAAATGCATATTTTGGCAAGCTTCCAAACCTGAGAACACGAGATTTTCTGTATCGAATAGTCTGATGCAACCAGAACAACAGTATATCTTCAACATCACTCACACAGAATGATTATACAAACACTTTTGAAATCTGAGAATTAACACATAAATGTCATAGTACACTCATCAGTTAATGGTTTGTCTCAAATCCCATGTATTTTAAATATTTCCAAATATATATATATATTAATGCTGAATAATTTATATGTCTATTAAAGTTGCTTTCTTAACTAAACTTGGGTATGTAAAACGGTGATTTAAATATTTCTGAAGCAAATATTGAAAGCCTAAACTGATCGTCACACAAGAGAGAGAACGGTTTTGTTTTGTTTTGAATTTTGCGCAAAGCTACACGAGGGCTATCTGCGCTAGCCGTCCCTAATTTAGCAGTGTAAGACTAGAGGTAAGGCATCTAGTCATCACCACCCACCGCCAACTCTTGGGCTACTCTTTTACCAACGAATAGTGGGACTGACCGTCACTATATAACGCCCCCACGGCTGAAAGTGCGAGCATGTTTGGTGTGACGGGGATTCGAGCGCCCTAGCCACCTGGCCATGCCGGGCCTAGAGAGAACAGTCATTACCTGAAGAATGGAGTCTCATCGGTAAGCTTCATGGATTACAACGTTAAAACTACAGGTTCGATCCTCGCGATGAACACGGTGCAGATAGCACATTGAATAACTCTGCGCTAAAATAAA